TGCTCGGTTTAGAAGCTGCAAAGGCGTTATTGGATTTGGGATTGAAAGTCACGATCCTCGAAAGAAATCCTAGATTGATGGCTAGACAACTGGATAAAAAGGGCGGAAAGATGTTGGCCAATGAGATTGCCAAATTGAATATCGAATCTTGGGTAGACAATGGACCAAAAGAAGTAATCCTAGATGACGATAACAACAAAGCAAAGGGGATTTTATTTGAGGATGGTAAAGAAGCATCGTTTGATATGATAATTGTGGCAGCTGGTATTAAACCACGTGATGATGTTGTAAAAGGTTCAAACATAATTTCTCATCCTAGAGGTGGCATCTTAATCGATGACAACCTGCAAACAAATGATCCACACGTATTTGCCATTGGTGAAGTTGCATTGCATGCAGGAATGATTTACGGATTGGTGGCACCTGGTTATGAAATGGCCGAAGTCTTGGCAAAGAATTTATGCTTCGAATCCTCAAATATCTTATTCAAAGGTGGTGATTTATCCTCCAAGCTTAAGTTGTTGGGTGTAAATGTTGCAAGTTTTGGTGATTATTTTGCTAGCAGTGATGTGGCAAATGGGTTGGTGTATACGGATCCATTTGGGGCTATTTACAAAAAATATTTGTTTTCAAAAGATGGTAAACGTTTGTTGGGTGGTATTATGGTTGGTGATACAACTGATTATACCAAACTCCACGCGCTCTGTAAATCAAAAAAACCCCTAACCGTTGAGCCAGGTGAATTGATTCTCGGTGTGAAAGGCTCTTCAGCTGAATCGATCGATGATTTACCTGACGAGGCACAAGTTTGTTCATGCAACAACGTTTCAAAAGGTCAAATTCGTGATTCTATCACTAAAGAGAACGGGTGTCGCTCACTTGGTGAAATCAAATCATGCACAAAAGCTGGTACAGGTTGTGGTGGTTGTATGCCACTGGTGACTGAGATCTTCCAGGCACAAATGAAATCAATGGGCCAAACAGTCAAGCAATCCTTATGTCCACATTTCTCCCAGACAAGAGTCGAATTATTCCAAATCATAAAAAT